TAGAGAGATTTGAGAAAGATATCGACATGTTTTTAAATGCACGCATGCGCTCACACACATACACACACACACACACACACATATTACAAAACAATATATACACAATTAACATTATATTTGTATTATACTACAGTAATTATATGTATATAGTATAATTTGCATTTATATACAATTTTTGCAATTTTATATTAGCAATCATATGCAGATGATTATATTTTATCTTTCTTCTGATGCAACTTAGTATAGCTTCAATTTAGCATAGCTGAGAATTAATTTCATAATAGGTAGCAAATTATCGTCAAAACCTACGTTGCAAGTTACAACACCATCTACTGTAAAGGTCGTACCGACCGGGACAAAACCTATTGTGAAAGGTTTTGATTTAAGTGGTGTAGAAAATACAGATTTGTTGAGCCCACGTTGTGGAAGTCCATCTTCCAATCGGAACAGTCCTGAAATCAAACGCAAGGAAGATATCATACAAAAGGAGAAAAGAATAGTCTCGTCAAAAATGAATAGTCCAAGGTGCCAATCACCTATATCGGGTCATATAACACCGGAATTAGATACTAAAGTAAAGTCTAATGCATCTAATGAAGAAAAAGTGGATGTCGAAGCGATATATCACAGTAAGAGAGACGGCAGCAAGGAACAGCTTCACTTGGTAGTCGTGGGACATGTTGATGCCGGAAAAAGTACATTACTTGGACGTTTACTCTGCGATTTAGGTCAAGTACCACAGAGACTTATTCATAAATATCAACAAGAGAGTAAAAAAATAGGAAAACAATCGTTTGCTTATGCTTGGGTACTCGACGAAACTGGCGAAGAAAGGTGATTATGTATTATGTTATTGAAGATAGTGGAAAAAATTTGTCATTTTGTCCGAAAAATATAAAAAAAAGACAAATTCTGACGAACAAAGACAGTATTGCCGAAATTTGACAGAAAGTATCTCATTTTATCTATAACTGTCCGAACATTTATACATTTTGATAATTTTCGGATGAATTTTAGGACGAATTCAGACATTTTGACTACATTTTGGACAATTTCGAACACATTCGAACAAATTTTTGCATAAGGGATGCACTGGATATCCAAAAAGTATCCGTTATTCGGTATTATTTAACTTAGATCAGATAGTCAGATAGCATTAGTATCTGGGAGTGTATATCCAATTGAAATTTTATATCATTAAATTGTTCATATTTTATTATATAATTTATTATTATAAATATTTTATAAATAAGTATGCATACTCATAATGCTATAATATCTATATTCAAATTTTGAAATTGCTTAAGAACTGATTGGATGGATTTGTGTATAAAAATTTTTATTTGAGTGTTACAACTGATAACATACGTTTCATACAAACTTTATACAACATGTGGACAACACAATTCGTTATAGAATTATGGGACTCTGCTTGACGATTTACACTTTGTACTTTGATTAAACATGATGACATATTAAAAAGATCTAACGGCGAACGAAACATATATTATAGTTGTAATACTCAAATAAAAATTTTTTTCATTTGAATTGCACAAATCCATCCAGTGTCAGCTTTTATAGGCAATTTTAAAGTTTGATTTAATTCGCTAGAGTTTTATTCATCTTATATATTGCAAAATTACTTACAATTTTTCTTCCACAGTTATTATGTTCACTGAAACAGTCCTTTTCGCTCTCTTTTTTTTTTTCACTCAGCCTTTTTTTTTTTTTAGAAGACTGTCCCAGAATCCAATTGGATATCCGGAAAATATCGAATATTCAACTCGAAAAATTCTATCCTTCCCAGATATCCGATAATTTTATGATCCAGTACATCTCTACTTATTACATTAAAGAGTCAATGCAAAAGAATGTACCAATTATAATACATCTTTAACAGAGAGCGAGGAATAACAATGGATATAGGTCACTCGAAGTTTGAAACGGACACAAAATCTATCACTCTGCTAGATGCACCAGGACACAAGGATTTTATTCCGAATATGATAACCGGTGCTACGCAAGCAGATGTAGCTTTGTTAGTAGTCGATGCAACGAGAGGCGAGTTTGAAACTGGATTCGATAGTGGAGGACAGACACGCGAACATGCCCTATTATTACGCTCTTTAGGTCATTTTTTTCCTTAAGCTTTATAAAAAATTTTAATTATTAAAAAAATATATATTTACCATCAATTTTCTGTATTTACAATTTTGAATTTTTATTAAAAATTTAGGAGTATCGCAACTAGCAGTAGTTGTTAACAAATTGGATACCGTAAATTGGTCTAAAGATAGATTCAATGAGATAGTAGACAAAATGAGTGTGTTCCTAAAACAAGCTGGCTTCAGAGATACCGTGACTTTCGTACCTTGCAGCGGTTTATCTGGAGAGAATATTGTAACAAAACCAAAGGAGCAGCTCTCTAATTGGTAATATCTCAATTTTGCATATATGTTTTTATCTATTTCTTATGAACTAATTTCACAGGTATATCGGACCTACTCTAGTTAACGTTATCGATAATTTTAAGTGCCCAGAGCGGCCTATAAATAAACCATTTCGTTTTTCGGTGAATGACATATTTAAGGGTACTGGATCTGGATTCTGTGTGTCTGGTCATGTGGAAACGGGTATGGTATCCTTGAGTGATAAGGTTTTAGTACTACCTCAAAACGAGATTGCAATTGTTAAAGGTAAACTAAGGTTCTATTAGGCTTTAGCAATAATGGACATCGTAAAGATTGTTATGTACTTAAAAATTACTTTATCTTAGGTCTTCAGTCGGATGAAGCTTCAACGGCAAATGCTTTTGCTGGTGATCACGTTGCGCTGACATTAGCGGGAATTGAACAGCAAAATGTGGGTATCGGCGATATTATCTGTAACCCGCAGAATCCAGTACCGATAACGACCTGTTTTCAAGCGCACGTTGTTATATTTGCGATAGCAAAACCAATTACAAAAGGGCTTCCAGTAGTGATGCACCAACAATCTTTGGTACAACCAGCGGTTATCATAAAATTAATAGCGCAACTTCATCGAAGTACTGGTGACGTGATCAAGAAAAAGCCGCGTTGCTTATCTAAGAATTCTAGTGCGATCATTGAAGTCGCAACGCAGACACCAGTTTGCATGGAGTTGTATAAGGATATCAAACAGCTAGGTAGAGTTATGTTACGATTAGAAGGTACCACTATTGCAGCTGGTTTGATTACAAAGATTTTATAAATCTGATTAATATAAATGAAGTCTCGAATATTGCAATGCAATTTGTATACACAATAGAAAAATTTTATTTAGATCTATAATAATATTTGTTGTGTGTGTATGTGTGTGTGCGTTGTGCGCGCGTGTGTATAGCTATCGGTGTGTATTTATACATCACACAAAATGATATATGCAAACTTTATAGGTTATGTACAATAGTATACAGAACTGAATAATTTAAGATTTTTTTATATATATATCCTATAGTATATTTATAATTGTTCATGAGCCATAGTACATGAACGACTGAAGCTGCGTTTCTGATTATTAGTGCTAAAAATCTACAGCATACGTTATGTATTAGTATAGATTTTTAGGCAATGTATATTGAAACATAGTCGCACTATTTAATTGCAAATGATAGATATAGTCGCAGATATGCATGATTTATATAATAATTACTGGATAACAATGCTATTAATAGCATTTCATCGTTAGAATCCATATTGTAAGTAAATTTATAGTGCTAGAAATTTATGTACATACGCTACTCAATGATGTTATTCAGTATAGCTACTGAATATTATGCACATTGATGGTATGTCTTATCATTCAGACCTGGTTCCACTAATGTAAAATTAATCTTGCATTGGTAAAACCGGATTTTAGTAATGTGACTAAGTTTTTCGTGTATCATGGCTCTATATTTTGGACAAATGTAAAATTAATTTGGCACATCTAATAAAGATGTACAGTTACATTATTTTTATTAATATAATTTATATTATTATCAATT